AATTTTTATGTTTATGGAGAGTAGCATTTATACCTCATTTTGTTTAAAGAGAGCCCACAAAGATACATTTGATTGACCTGGGATCAAGTTTGATCTGATTAGCTTAATGTAGATGAACAAAAGTGATACAACAAATAATTTTTAGTAGTAGGCTAGATGTGACGAATTGAATATGTGGGTAAGATTTCATGAGTGTTCAAAGGTTTATTAAAGTTTAGCACTCTCATGGGCATCTTATTTATGAATTAAGTGAATTCGGGATGTCATTCCCTAGAAGTGTTTGGGTATATTGTTATTGAATAGAATTGATCGGACCACTTCGAGGAGATGTTTGTTATCTCTCAACCAAACATTTTTGTTGTGGTGTGTCAACACAATAGCTTATTTAAATGATGAAATTTTTTGATAAGAGCTAAGATCGGAGTTATAGTAGTCTTTTCCATTCTCGATTTGAGAATTGAAATTTTGCTTTGAAATTAGGTGAGGATCATGTGCTAGAATGTTTCAAATATGTTGACAATTTCATATTATTCCTTTACGAGAAAGATCTGGATGGTTCTGGTGTGGCAATCAACGAAAGTGACAAAACACCTAATCTCATTTGTATTTTTTTTTTCTTTTTTAGGACCTCAAACTATCATTATGAACCATAGAGAATGGATGTATTAGTTTGTATTTCAGGCTTGGGTACACCGAGTATGTTTAGCAAAATGACAAATTTCATATTAATAGAAACTATAAGTTTTTTTTTTTTTTTTTGATAAATAAATATGGATACAACTTTTCAATAAAATAGAAGTTATGATGCCCCCTGACAAAAATACCATAATATAACTTAACTCGCGTGAGTTAAGTTATGAACCATAGAGAATGGATGTATTAGTTTGTATTTCAGGCTTGGGTACACCGAGTATGTTTAGCAAAATGACAAATTTCATATTAATAGAAACTATAAGTTTTTTTTTTTTTTTTTTGATAAATAAATATGGATACAACTTTTTAATAAAATAGAAGTTATGATGCCCCCTGACAAAAATACCATAATATAACTTAACTCGCGTGAGAAACAAACTCAGATACAAAATTTGACTAAAATAATTGTGAATGATGGGATGGTTCTTTTGAAGTTAGAGTCCTAGTGAAAGTTCATGATGATCATTTGTGAGTTTCACACTTTCTCTTTCTTCCATGGGTGAGAGGGAGCATCTATGGTTCGAACTGCAACATGGTGTTTACAAGAATCGAAGGATTGAAGAGCAGTGAGATCACTTGTCATTTGATCAGATATTCTAGACTCCATTATTGATGATTGATTCTTTCTGTTGGGAGCAACAAAAGAAAATTGAAGGCTACCTTGATGTGCTAAAAGACTGCTAGAAGGCTCAAAATATTGTCCCAAACACCTTTGAAGAGATTTAAGTTGTTAATTACGAAACGAACTATGTTCAAGAGGCTCATCTTCTTTTGATGTTGTATTTACTTGATTTTTCCCATCACATCTAACTTTGTTAAGCTTCCAATCTGCAAGTTTTTATAAATTTTATAACACTTCTCCTTTAAATGACCAAGCTTCTTGTAATATTCACACTGCGGTCTGTCTCTCTTTGCTTTGTTGTCCTAAGATGATTTGTGAATGTATAAAGTTGATTTGTCAACATTTGATGTAACGGAATTACATGTAATCATGAGTTTCTTCTTGTTCTCTTTCCTCTATATTTCACGAATTGAGGGAATAGGCTCGGTTCTCCAAAATTCTCCCTCTGACGTCATCTAATTCCTTGTTGAGTCCTACAAGGAACTTGTTGGTTCATTGTGTTCAAGAATAGTTTTGTAAGGAGAAAATTTTTTGAGCACCACCACGTGTATGTTTCATGCATATCTAGTTAGAGCCAATATTTGGAGAGTATTGAAGTATTGAATAAAATTCAACTCACTCTGTTGCAAGTCATATAATCTAGTTTCAATGCCAAACTCAGATATGTTGTCAGCACTTGAATAGGTTTCTTTTATTGCATCCTAAATTTCTTTTATTTTTAAATCCCAAATTTCTTTTATTTTAAACATGATAAAGATTTCTCCAACTTCTCAAAATAATAGAGTTGAGAAGCCATAGCATGACCACTTGATCTTCAAATTTGTCATGTCAAATGTTTAGAATAAGTAATATTGGTGCAGGATTTTCTTTAGCAAGATGATCATCTTTTTCTTTAACACGGATATACATAAACACAGAATAAAATAATTGAAGAAAATTACTGTCAAGTAATTTGTGATTAGTGATGCAGAAATAAATTTCAGATGTTGTGGAACCAGACATCACTTTTGAAAAGGAAGAAATAGCCCTCATGCCATAATTAATCGAAATCAGAATTTCCACCAGAGAAGAAAATTGTGTCGTTGACACAGGATTTCCTCAGATCTGAGACTTTCACTTGAGACAGTCAATTCTAAAAGTTAAGATTTAAGTTAGAGAGAGAAAATCAATTCTCAAAATTGGGATTTGCATCAAAGAGAAAAATGATCAGTACACGTATAATAGGGAACAAAACCAACCCCCCCCCCCCCCCCCCCCCCCCGAAAACAGAGCGCCACTCAACAGGGTTTCACGTTTGAAAGCTGATAGAATCGCAATTATCCAACTCGCAAAGGAGCCAATCTAATAGATGGTAGAGGCCTGCAACCGATCAAACGGACAACTCACGAAGGAGTTGATTGCAACACTACTTGACAGGAGAATCCTGGAGCCAATCTAACGGACAAATCGTGAAGGAGCCAATCACAACACGAACGAAATGAATCGAACGGGTCAGGGAAATTCAACGATCGTGGCACCGACGAAAGAGAAAATCATGTTCGACCCAGTTCTATCGTGGATGGCATCGCGAAGGTTCTATAGGGAGACGACACCTTGAAGACGCCTGCAGGGATTCAGCTACAAAGATGGGATATGACGAAGGGTCTGCAAAGATTGGTGGCAGGCTACCGACAAAGGTGAGCTGGTGGGCAACGTGGAGAACAGCAGAAGGTTGGGCGGCTGAGGTGGCGGAGGGTCCGCATTGGTTGGGGTTGCCTTGATGGGGCTATAGCAGGGAGGCCGAAGCGGGGTGGCTAAAAAGCGGCCGCTACAAGAGCGGCAGAACAACAACGACGACCAGGGGGCAGTGCGGCCTTAGTGGGCCTGCGACGACCTGCGACGACAGAGCGTCAGTCAGGTTGTCAGACAGCGGCGGGGCAGTAATCGAATGACGTGGTCGAGTGGCGAGCTGTCGCAGCCAAGTGAGAAGCGGGGCTACGACCTGGCAGAGAGGCGACGGTGGCCATGCAGCAGCGGGCGGTGATCTGCAGGGGCAATGACTTGTCGATAACATTTTACATGAACTGTGTAATTCAAATTCAGCCAAATTAACCGAATTCTAAGTTTAGCGCAAATTACCTATAGTGTAAACTTCAAATTAATTCATAATTTGTATTGTAATTATAATTCTTTCATACCAACACAATTTTCTCAAACCCCTGCAAAAGAATTACAGTACATCATAAATTCACTCAACCAAACAACCGCTTGGCCAATTTGTTCGCGTACACTCACACATGTACTTCAATTTCAAGCTACACGGCTCGTGTTGTGATGTATGTTCTTAATTTCTATGGCTTAAAAATAACTAGTCATGTAGCACCCACAACTCAGCATGAACCTCTTAAATAAAAAAAAAATCAAAGGAAAATTTTGACATGAGAGCATATTATCACCTCCCTAAAGAGCTCTTAGGGGTGATGGGCAGCCCAGGACTTAAATACTGTTTTTCAGTCCTACATCTAGCCGATGTGGGACTTTTTGTCAGTGACATTCTTCTCCACCCAATCACGTGACGCATTCGTCACGGATCAACTCCACTGAGGGTCTCACTGGACCATGGAGAGTCCACACATCTAGCAGACAGTAATATGCTCTAATACCACTTGTCACCTCCCAAAAGAGCTTTTAGGGGTGGTGGGCAGCCCAGAACTTAAATACTATTTTTCGGCCCTACATCTAGCCAATATATGACTTTTTACCTGTGACAATATGCTCTTAATTCTCTCTCTTTTTGTCTCCCCCTTGACTTATATTTGTACCATATGAATCTTATCAGGAAAGCCCTGATATTGTCCATTGTCCACAAATAAATATGAATCTAACATGTATATCTCACTTAAACTTATATGAAAAACAGTTTCTTGATTAAAAACATGCCCAAATACGCAAAATTAAAAAAATTAAAAAAATTAAAAAAAAAAACCTAAGAGTTGAGATAAGATATAAGTTATAAATAGCGACCACAACAAAAAAGCATACCAAATTTCACTAACATATATTCAACAAGAGTTTTGAGTTCTCTCCACCGATCATGATAATTATAATTACAACCATGTCAGTTTAGCACTGCAAATCATTTTTGTTAAGGGGCAGTTTGCTTACCCTTATCAAGGAATTTTAAAATATGGGTGTTTTGTTGGATGTAAATGGAAAATTTGAAACTCACCGTTTAATTCAAATTTGGCATATTTAGGAATAGGCCAATTTCCAAATACACCGCACAAGCGACTGCCGATTGGCGCCACCCTCCGCCTTTCATTTCCGGCCGCCACCGCCTACACTAGCGCCAACCCTTTCATTGATTTCAATTACTTCAAATCAAATAAAAATGGATAATATCCTGTATTTATTTTACACAACCAAACAACTCTGAAACATTTCAAAAACACTACATTTTGATTGCTTTGTGTTTCAATTATACCACATTACTTTTCAATAAACCAAACTACCCCCAAGTAAAAGTTATTGCACAGTTTTTTATCAGATATACTTACACTTTGATGGCAATAATTCCAACCACTCAAATAAAATTAGCCAGCAAAATACAATAATTATAACCATAAAATTGCCGAGGGATAATGGTAATTAGAAAGAAATCGAATCCCTATCATAACCTAAGCAGCAAGAACCAAAATTTGATAATCAAATTCCACGCCCTACAAGCATTATAGAAACAAAGTATTGACACATGAAATCCCCACGTTTCCAGCCAATGATAAAACAGTAATTCCACCAAATTGAAAACTGTCTACCACTTGAATTCGTATTTCAAGGGCTTCGGTTCTGTCTAAGCAACATTAAAACCAAAGGGACACAAGAATAACACATACGCTAGCACTTAGCATTGATTGTTAACACTCAATACATAGACCCTTCCTATCAACATCATCTCTAAAACTGTAATATTTATCCCCTGACATACTTAAATATGATTCGGATGCCAAAATTGCTCATAAAATATGGTCAAAGCGAGAGATTCATTTCCAGAGAATTATGAGATAGAAACTGCATATAAAACAAATATAGGGGAATTGAAAACTTTATTCAAATTACAAAAAATGACAAAATAAGAACTTGGTAATTCTTTTAAAAGCTTACTTTACGAAGAAGCTGATTCTGGTTGAGGAGTTCCGCTTCTTGGCCTTCTTCGGTCTGGAGGAGTGCCATCTCTTTGCCTAACATACTTCCTGCTTTCGTATTTTGAACTTCTCTGCTTGGGCTGATAGGTAGGGTACTTGCAAGGAATTATTTCCCCATTTATGTATTTATCACCTGATAAAAAGAATGAAAAAATAGAATGAAGTGGAGAAAGCTCACTTTATTCGTATTTGAAATGCCTCATCATATACTTTATGAATATTAATGAAATTTATGGTTTGATTGATGTCATACTTATATCCATGTATTTTACACATCAACACATTAATTTATGGTAATTAGTCATTTCCTATACAAACTGACTACAGAATACCTCAAAGGAATATAAATCGTGAAGTGAAACTCTTCCCATCATGTTTTGTTAGGAATTTAAAATGACTGTAGGTGTAGTTATTTTTTGTTATTTTTAATAAATATTTTTTATTGCAGAAGACACTAGAGTTTTGGCTTTCCAGTTCAACTGTTGAATGCTTAAAGATATAAACCTGAAGAAATATCATTTTTAACTGTGCCAAATTTCTTCATTAGTTAAATTACTCGAGACCTCATAATTCAGAACCATCAGAACTAACCTCCGTAGTCTTTGTTCTTGACATCGATGTAGGAATCAGGCAACACCCAAAGAACACCAGGCAATCCTGTGTAACAAATGAGAAAATGATTAACTATCCAAAAATAGAAGAATGTAAGCTGAAATTTTTACAACAAAAAGGTTTTACCCTTGAATTTTTCAGATGTTTCCTCTGAAACTGTGCATTGAAAACCTGTATAAGTAGTAGTGCTAAATGCATACATATTCTTCTTAGCTTCCTCCATGCTGCAAAAAACATAGTTCATGAGAGAAGAATTCCATCAAAAAATATGGAATATCTTTGTGCGCCTTTCAACCACATGTTGCTCAAATATAAGAAAATGATAGACGTTGTGCGTAATTTTTTCATTAATTCCAGGAGCAACCTTGTCAAACCCATGGATTCCTAGATTTTCCAGATCAAATTTGTTCAAAATAGTGGATGAAATCAAGCAAAGATTTGTTGCCTGGTTTCTTGCACAACTGAACATCAAATGTTGTTATCAAGTATCAAGCTATCCAAATCTTAAATTTCGTTTTCTTCCGTCGACATTATATCTCTATAAAAGTAGAAAATTCTACAGCCATAATGGAGATAAAAATCTTTCGTGAAGCAGTCAGCAACCCGGTTGGTTCTTCGAACAGAGGCTGTAAGAGGCTCCTAAAAGCCAGCAAGAATTTGTATTATGTACTCATCTTTAGACCTAGAGAAATATCTATCTATACGTGCAGTCATGTATGCAGGCAAACTTCACAAAACCTTACAAAACCTCATAAATCTCGTATCTTATTTTCTAATATTTTCTTGCAACTATTTTATCACTTTTTATCCTCATGAGTGCACTTTTGCCCACGACGACAAACAAAAGCTGAGAATTGAGATCTTCCAAAAAAAGGTAAAAGCAATGGTGTTCATGGATCAACAAGTTCAATGACTAGAATTGTAAGTACTTCAAGATATAGATTGCTGATCATCTATGCCAGAAAATTTATATCCCGCTCTCATGGAGACGATGACCACTACGAGATAAGTATGCTAGAAAAGTTTTACCAAGCAGGTTTTGAGGGCTGTATACTGACAATGATGACGAAACTTAATACATATTGCACAAGAAGGCCATTACTATACTAAGTGATCATTTTATTAGACATATATGAGAAGCCATCTACAGTTAATAAGATGCATCTAATGAAGACGCTGCTGTAGTAAAGCATATCAATAAATTTAACATGATTATAAATTGAGTTTAATTTATAATGGAAATGGATTCTTTAGATAATGCAGCTTCCTTCAGCTTATGTTCGAGAACTATATGCTATGACGGAAGCCATTTCCAAATGACGTCACTATCTTTTAGGTGAAATTTTTTTATAATGTACTAATAAAAAATGCATTAAAAATTTATTTCAATAAGGAATCCAGACACCAAAACAGCAATTTTTCCTTATCAAATTTCTACAGTTTGAATTCAATATGACGGACAATCTTGGCACCAGCAGTCAAGTTGCTGAAGCAGTTTCTCAACGGAGGCAAGAAGTTTCACTTATAAATGCTACAATAATTCTGACATTTTTTCTAGACCACGTCCTCGGACCAATCATCAAAATATGACTCTCTCTTGTATCACTTGCTCCTTGTTAGAAATACTTTAAATGCAACTAAAAAATTTGTTGGATTTAGAATTACCGGCCACCAATGTTTGTCTTGATCCTTTTGAATATGATCATTGCATTATCATGAATGATTTGATTTTATTTAAAAGTTGAATTGTTTTATCAGCGCATTAATGACAGAATTTCATTCCACTCTCATAGCTGGACTATCGATTTTCCAAAAATCATCGCATGAATCGCTTCTAATTTTAACAGCATAAAATGACCTGCAATGTTAAATTATTTGTTAAAGCTTGTTCATCTTATAAACAAGCAAAATCAAAATAAAAAGATGGCAGGAATTATTACAACCATTAAACATCCCGAATGCAATATAAGCAGAGATTTCCAGCAATGTCATCGCTACTCTTCCAAATTAATGGTAAAACTTATATCCTTGTAGTAGATGGATTATCCTAGAATGCTCATTTTGTGCTCCTACCAACCAGATTCACCATAGCTAAAGTAGCCAAGGTTTTCGTTCTAAATATCATCCACCTACCTGGATTTCTAAAATTCGTCGTGAGTGATCCCAACCCCATTTTTCTCAACTCATTTGGAAGGAAATATTTCACTTAAAAGATGCACAACTAAATTTTAGCAGTTTCTATCAACCACATACAGACAATCAAATAAAAGTAACAAATGGCAGTATTAAACAGTATCTACGATGTTTTGTAATGGAGAAAACTTCGCAATGGATAACCTTTTTGTCAGGATCTAATATAATCTATAATACTTCATTACATTTTTCATCAAAATATACCTCACATGAAGTAGTTTATGGACATTCAACACCCACCTTAATTTCTGATATCATTTGTTCTTCTTTTGTAGAAACCTATGAAACAAATTAGCATATCCGCAAAAATATCATATAACACCATCTCAATCTGTGTGCCACATGCAGTCATATGAAACAACTTTTTGATAAAAAATAGCGAGAAGTGGTTTTTCAAATAGAAGACCACATCCTTGTTTGCCAACAATCTTGTCGGCAAATCTCTATTACTCAACAAAAATACTCCAAACTGACCAAAATATATTTTGGACCTTTTTTGGCACTTCAAAACTTGGGGATGTAGCTGATAAATTAGACTTATCATCGAAAAGAAGGCACACATTCATCCAATTTTTCATGTTTCATTATTAAAACCTAATCCAAAAAATATCTAATTTCATTCTACTTCCTCAGTAGTCAAATAAGTAAAAACCCTACAACAATGATATATTATGCAAAGGAGAAAGCTGCTCTTGCGGTTATTAATTCAATGGGAAGGATTACAGTCGAAATATTCTTTTTGAGTCTCGTGCCCAAATTATGACTTTGAGAAAAAGGTCCCTTCGGAGTGACAAAGAAACATAATGAGCTAGTCAAACAACATCCCAACACCTATTCGACAAAAACCTATCTGTTCACATCAGCATCCGAGATGGCTAAGAGATTTTATTTAATTTTATACATAAAACTGTAATTTTATTAATTAATTTTTTTACACAATATGTCCTTGGTTTTGGCCTATAAAAGGTAAGGTTGTTAGCATTTAAGACATGAAAAGCTAATAAGTAATTTCTCTTGCCTGCTTTTCTCCCCGTTTTTCCCCCTTTTCCCTTGCCCTATCCATTTCTCCGCTACAAGGCTGTAATATTGTGATAAATTAAAATAACCGGTGTCATAGTTATATTTTCCTTATTGCACTAGCTTTACTTTAAGCCTATATTCACTACCTAAGGGTATTTATGTAATGAGGCTTTAGCATAGCTTTATGTAATGAGTATTGGGGAGTGAATCCCTTCATTTGGTATCATTTCTGCTTTATGGTATCAGGGCACTAAGTCTCCCCTCCATTTAGCACGTACCATCCTTATCACACAATTTGTTATCCGTTCATAAATTAATTGATGACAATAATGTTGCAATTATCTTTGATTGTGTTGGATTTCTTATCTTTGACCCGCAGACTCATCGCATATTTTTTTGGGCATAGTTCCAAAAGACTATACTCCATACCTCCATCTTCAATCAAATCAACCACCTCGGTCACTCACCAAGCATGCTCTATCTCATTGCAAACCTCCATACTTTGGCAAAAAATACTTGGTCATTCACATTCTAATATTCTCCACCATGTCCAAGCTCCAACCAACTCTTGGAATTACCTATCCTAATTCTTTATGTAATAGTTGCAATTGTAGTAAGAGTCAGAGACAGTCTTTTCCTTCTCATTTTTTACATATGTACTTACCTTTATAGCTTATACACTCTGATGTATGGAGTCATCCTGAATTTTATCATATCAAGGTTTTCAATATTATAACATTTTTATTGATGATTAGTCTAAATTTTGTTGGCTTTATCCCATGAAATATAAATCTGAACTCTCCCAAATTTGAATTGGGTTCCTTAATCTAGTTAAAAATTAATTTAACACTGCCATTCGAATCTTTCAATCCGATGGTGGTGGGGAATATAATAACTCCACTTTCAAACAAGCATTTACCCAACACGCCATAATACATCAATTCTCTTGTCCCTACACCCCTCAATAAAATGATGTTGCAGAACGCAAACATCGTCACTTGATTGAAACAACTCGCACACTCTTACATAATGCATCTCTTCCACTTACATTCTCGCTTGATGCCTTGCTTACAAGTGTCTATCTCATAAATCTTATGTCCCGCCCACTTACTCTCACTTAAAGGTTTTTGAATGCTTGTGCTACTCTTGGATAAAACCAACTACACCGCACAAACTTGCTCCCCGCTCGGCACCATGCATTTTTTCTTGGATACAAAGGCTTTAAATGTTTTAACCCTCAAACAACCAAAATGCTAATCTCTCGCAATGTTGTGTTTCATGAGAACACATTTCCCTGTTGCCACAACAACCCCTCTCAACCCACACCTACGGACCCACCTCATATCAACCCCCACTTACTTATCCCTACCTCGGCCATCCAACCGACCCAAAATAAACCCACCGAACATAGCTACACCTCCCCAGCTAAATATTCCCCCAACTCGAGTACCCGACCGTCCAAACCATTTTACCTACACCCCCACTTCTCCCAAGTTATCCCCCACATATTAAACCATAACCTCTCAATACTCATCCCATGGCCACTCGAGCCAAAACCGGCTAGCTCATGCCCACTAAGCGTCTTAATATGCCTCATTAAACCTCACACCCCACCAATCCTACAGCATACAACCATGTAACAAAATCCAAACATTGGCAATGGGCCATGAGCGAAGAATTTCATGCTCTTCAAGCTCAAGGAACATTGACTCTTGACCCCTCTCCTCTTAACCATCCGGTCTCGGGATGTGGTTTGCCTTATTGTACTAAAAAACACTCAGATGGTTCATTTTTCGTTATAAAGCAAGGGTTCATTTTTCGTTATAAAGCAAGGTTAGTTGTCCAAGGCTTCAACCAAGAATTTGGCATTAACTACTATGAAACATTTAGCCCTGTAGCGAAAAATGCCAACCCTTTACATTCTCTTAAAGGTGAACTTCAACCGCAACTGGCCTATTCAACAATTTGATGTCTCTAATGTCTTCATCCATGGAACTCTTCATGAGACGATCTATATGAAACAACCGTCTGAATTTATGGATCCGCAATTCCCACAACATGTGCGCTTCCTGTAAAAGGTACTCTATGTTTTAAAACAGTCCACCCTTGAATGGTTTACTACCATCTCGGATTTTGTTATCTCATTGGGCTTTACCATCAGCCGGGCCAATCCGTCATTGCTTCTCCGACGTAATTCTGCACAATCACTTTTCTCCTCCTATATGCAAAATTACTTTTCTCCTCCTATATGTTGATGACATTCTCATCAACGGAGATTGCATGGCGGCTATCACCGAACTTACTAACCAACTCTCCACAAGATTTCAAATTAAACGGCTAGGTGAAGTGCATAAATTGTTGGGAATTGAGGTATGCCGAACACTACAATCAATGTTTTAAAGCCAACAGACATATATCACCAATATCCTACATGAGACGGCCATGACGGGTTGTCAACCTATTTCTACTCCTCTTCTAAGCAAGCAAATTAAAAATTAGGACAACACACAACCTATGGAGAACTCATCGGAATATCGACATATTGCAGGTGCTCTCCAATACCTTATGATTACTCGATCGAACATATCCTTCACCGTCAAAAAAATATGTCAAAATATGCACCAACCAACAATTCACCACTTCCAACTCCTTAAACACCTTCTCCGTTACCTACAAGGCACGGTTACATAAGGCATTCTTATCACGTATGAGGATCTATGTCTACAAACCTTCTCGGATGCGGATTAGGCTAGTGATTTGGTAAACCGAAAATCCACAATAGGTTTTTGCTCTCTCCTTGACTCAACTCCTATCTCATGGACCGTGAAAAAGCAACAAACCATTGCTCGATCATCTACGGAGACGGAATATAGTGCCCTCACCGCTGTTACTACCAATATCATATGGCTTTGTCGCCTTCTTACGGAACTTGGAGGGGAACAACAATATCCAACTAAACTCTTTTGAGATAATGTTTCTGTCTTGGCTATCACCGACAATTCAGTGTTTCGCGCTCAAATTAAGCACATCGAGATAGATTACCATTTTATTCATGATCATATCCATCAAGGACAACTGGAAATCCACTGCATACCTGCACAAGATCAACCAAGCGACATCTTCGCTAAACCTCTTGATAAGCAGAAATTTCACTACTTCAATACCAAGCTTCAGGTTCTTTCCAAGAACCATCACCTTGACAGGGGATCGTAGATATATTTACCTTATTGCACTAGCTTTACTTTAAGCCTATATTCACTACCTAAGGGTGTTATGTAATAAGGCTTTAGCCTAGCTTTATGTAATGAGTAGGGGGGATTAAATCCCTTGATTCGGTATCATTTCTACTTTACGGTGAAGTCCTTCCCGCAAGTATATATACTATCAAGTATCAGTTAGAACCGAAAGACAAATTTAATGCAGCAAAACAAACAAAATATCGCCCGCAAAAACAACAAAATTAAAAAAAAATAATAAAAAGAGCCATTGAATTCCAGAGTCTCCAATACCGTAGAGGTGAACAAACCACGAACCCTACTGCTAAGCTCCGAGTATATACCTTCCAAGGACAGTAGCGAGAGTATCGAGATAAGTATCGATCATCTGCTCCCTGGTGGGCGCGGGATCCTTAGGAAATTCCATCACGATGAGCCAGTGGTTGTAGTCGCAACCAGGAAGCAGGATCGTCTCTCTCGGCTCGCTGCTGCTGCTCCTCTTTGACGAGTAGTCCCCGTCCACCGCCATAACCCTAACCCCAGAGTTCCACTCTCGCCGAAAAACAGGAGATCGATGGCGGAAAAACGAAAGACCCGTGGCCCTGGCTTTCTGAGGCAATAGGAAAGCAGGACGCACAAGCATCGAGGACGAAGGCATCAAGTTAGGGCTCCGAGAGGACGAGGAGTAAGGTGATGAGGTTAGGCTTTTTAGGCGGAGAGAGGGGTAGCTCATGGTCGCCATTGTAGCGTGGGTGGAGCTTGGAGGGGAGAAGATAAGGGTAACCGGTAAGCGAGCGTGAGAATAGAAATAATTGAGTTCCGGACTGCACCACGAGTAAGATGACCGGATGCACTCCTAAAAGAGAAGAGAGTGTGTGCGCGCGCGCGCTCGTGGAGAGAGTGAGAGAGAGAGACAATGGTGTATTTTGATAACATGAACTGTGCCGAACATCAGGCTAGTGCTTCGAAAATTAAGTCATGCGCCCCTATTAAATATTCATTTCTTTCTATCGCCGGATGAGAAGCTGTCTGGATAAGGAAAAATTGTTCCTCGTGGATCTTGCGTGCGGTGTCCGATTCAGATCGTAAATCGTCTGATCTACGGTCCCGATGTATTTCAGTGGGCCCCACCAAAATTTTTTTTTTTTTTTGAAAAACGGAAATAATCCTGACCGTAGATCACCGTGATCTATTATTTAGAAATCTCTGAAGCAATTGGTCGCCAGACGAGAAGCAGTCGCAGTCTCTCTTTGCTAAGTAAGTTATTGTGATATTTAAGTTTTTTCGAAAAATAACTCTAAAATCCAAATTTAGGGTTTATGCTGCGAACTCACTCATTTATTTTTCTTTTAGTTTTCAAGCAAACTAACGTAGAAGAATGAAAGAACTCGAGGAAAACAGAAAGAGAATGAGTCAACAGAGAGCATACAGATAAATCAAAACAATGGTTCTAGTTCCATTCAACATTTTACTATTTACGGTTTTGACATTATGAGTCATATCACGAGCGAAACAGTAGAATATTACCATTAGCATAATATTACCATGCCATCACACTAATATATTACAATACAACTATACTTTTATCACAATAACATCATAATACCACACTAATAACATCACTCTACAGCCACGCTATTAATCCTACATTACAACCACTAATAAACCCACAATGTAATCACATTAGTATCACAATAACACCAAATTATGACACTAATAACGCCACTACACAATATCACTGTTAACCTCGCATTCCACCCACTAATAACATCACAATACAACTGCATGTGTACAACTAAAACACCATAATATTACACTAATAACATTACCATACAACCACTCTATTATCAACACAATACGACCACTTTTCTCTACTATGTATTAACCTCTCCTTGGGTGGTGTCGGCTTGGATGCTCCACCGAGTGCAGTTTGTCTGTCTGATTCAAGGTTTGAACTCTGCTTCTAAGGTGTGTCAGTCACCAGGTGACATTGCTATTTCACGACCTTCAAAGCTAAGGTTTATACATGAAGTAGAGACCAATATGGTTGCATTTGCACCTCATTACTAATAGAAGACTTTAGTCGTCCAAGATATCTTGCTACTATGTGCTCTTCCATCTCCACCAACTCATATTGCAGCATAAGTTGATCAAAGTCAGTTGTGTACTCCTCCATAGAAGTGTCCCGCCGGCTCAAGTCGTGGAGCTTTATGAAAATGTCCTCTCGATATTGTACATAAGGTATTTGCGCTGCATCTCTCTTTTTATCTTATACCGCGTGGTGATCTTACTATTCCCTTCTCGTTTTCAAATGCACTTCTGGTTCTCCCACCACAATGGAGTACTTTTCTTGAGCTTGATGATTGGGAATTTAACTCTTTTGTCTTGAGGAACATCCTTGTACAAAAAAAAATTTCCTTCACTATTTTAAGCCACTCGATAATCACATCTAGATCCATACAAATGTTACAATTCGATAAATCCACATTTACTTCAAGATCCTAGCTTCTCCAATGATATTTTAAGTTGAATCTTCGAGGAAGTAGTACTTAGTCACTAGAAAGTTATTGGTCGAAGGGATTTACTTCCTCCTCTCAATTTGACGAGGCACAGTTGTGGCTATAGATTACCTCACCATATTGTCTCCTCCTAGAGGATGCATGCCTTTATTGCATCTCGGACGATTTCTCACTATATATTTTTCAAGGTAAGTTCCTAAACACCTCTTTGTAGATTTATCATATACAAAATTGTGTCATTTACACTCAAATAAGTTTTCAATAGATATAAGATTACATATCAAAGGTTGGTTGGGGGTTTAGAGTTTTTTGTGATAGGTGTCGAGGTAGATTTTTTGTGAACATAAGAAATTTGGATTTTGAAAATTTAGGATTACGGCTAGAGTTGTAGTAGGAATTGTTTGGGTGTTGTGGATTTCTTTTTTTTTTTTTTTTTGAAATGTTGGATTTAGGGCAAGAAGACAAATCCTTAAAAATTTAGGATTTGTCGGGCTCTCATACCTGCTAATATTATTCTAAGGCTTTTAGTAGATTATGTGGGGGGATTGTTATGGAATGACAAGGGAACAAAAAATCGCGAGGGGTAATTGGAAGAAGCACAACGTGAAATCTGCTGCTAGATAGCAATTTGGCATTGATCGAAGGTGGGGCAGCAACCCAAAAGCAGAAGACAACAAGTTTCTATTGCCAAATAGTGAGTAGACGCGAGTTCAATGGCTTTCAGGTTAACACAACAACTCAAACAACAATATGATAAGATAGAGTGGCTAGGAAGTTCCACCATATGTTCTCTAGCAAGATACATACGCACTACTTGCTAAAAAAAAATACAATACTTCGTAGTGTAAATTCTACAGAGAGAACTGTCAAATTCATAAACACAAAAAAAAAAAACTAAAATCCAAAGAGTTGCCACAATATTTACAAAAGTCCTATAATAGAAAATACCAACTTGAAAAATATGAAAGAAATAAAAAAAGAAATAAAGAAAAGAAAAATGGAAAAAACAAAGCAAAACTCACATATCTCCCCAAATGTAAATCATGGACGAACTTGTGATCCAACGGTGCGCTAACCCGACACTCAACATCAATTATTTTCTGATGTTCAAGGGCATATAGAGTCATGTAACTCATATTTGAATAGTGAAACCATTTCAACTCGGTCATGATCCGTGTTTTTTTTTTTCTTTTTTAATTTTTCAGGTAAAAAACTTTAACGTCTCTTGTATCAATTATTTTTTTATTTATGTGTGTGTTGAATTTTCTTCCAATACTAAGACATAAACATATCTATGTCACTGCAAATTTTCCGACGTAAAACATATATAAATAGAGAATAACACGCATTGGATCAATAGATTGGGGATCACTCCATAGACTAAAAATTTTATGAATCTTTTTCATTCATTTTCTCATATCAAAATTTACAGCAAAGACTTTAACTTCTTTTCTTTTATCAAATTTTAATTAGTTATAGCATGTTCACATTTCACGCTATCATTTAAAAAGAAAAGCACCAAGTTAAGGCAATCTAATAATCTCACGAGCCAACTCATTTCTACTCAAAATATTCCTATCAAAACTTAATAAAAATAAGTTTAATTTTTAAATTAAACCCAGTACAATATATTAGGGTCATTCACATACATACCACCCAATTCTCATGTATTCACATGTCTGACGCCTAAACTTTAATACCCAAATCATTTATACAACATAAACAATCCCACTATTTTATGCACATGAAAGGTGGCATGTACGTAAAAAATTGAAGCTTAGAATTGAGATATATAAATACAAAAGAATCGAGTGGTTTGCATGTAAATTTTCCCATATATTATTAATTATTAACTATTTTATTACTGCCATATTACTCAAATTATCGAAAATCTAATCCGATTTAATTTTTATATCGACACCCTAATCTAAAATTTAGGAGATAATTTGCATGCATTGCCTTCAATACTTATGCACTCATATATCTAATTCTTCACTTCTGATTTTTATTTATATAAAACCAAAATTATTACATCAAATCAAAATTATTTTTAATAATAATTTTTAAAAAATAAAATCAGTTTTTTAACGAGTATATTTTAATATAATTGAACCTATAACAAGTTTTATAAATAAATATTAAAGTTTAGGAATACTTACATACAGATCACCCGAAATAGCGATATGTACGAATTAATCACCCATATATTTATTCGTGTCACAATCAATCTATTTATAATTTGATCACAAATTTGAAGAAAATGAGTCCGGGTTTTGCCATGAATTTTGATATTTGAGCGAGAATTTAAAAAGTAAATGAAAAAAGATGGTTAATTTGTAAAAAGCAAATTTCGAATGTTCTGTATGTAAGAATTACGTACATGTATGCACCCAGAC